GCTCTTCCTGGCAGCCAATGAGAGACTCTCCCACTGCTATGGAATCAAGGCTCTCCCACTGCTACTGAATCAGCCCCTTCATCATCGCAGCCTTCAGCAGAGCAAGGCCTGTGTTACAGCAGACCAGACGCCAACACTTGGAACAATCTGTCTCATCTTCTGAGTCCCAAATGGAACCAAGCCCAGGAAGTCCTTAAACACATACACACACACACACACACACACACACACACACACACACACAGTGGAACCAAGCCCAGGAAGTCCTTAAACACATACACACACACACACACACACACACACACACACACACACACACACAGGCTAGGGGGATAGCTCAGTGGTAGTGCACTTGGCTAGATGTGCAAGGTCCTGGGTTTGATCCCAAACTCCGCGTGCACACACACACACACACACACACACACAAGAAAATCCCCCAAATAAAGAAAATCCCACAAATTGGATGGAATCCTCAGTATTTCAACCATATCAGAACATACATGTTCTAAAAAAATAACTAAATTGGAATCAAGTACTTTTTAGGACAAATACACATATCAAACAATGTGTATGTATGTATGGACCAGGCACCTTTGTTTTCATTTTCTAACTTGATCCGACCAAACTCCTGATAGAGAGGCTGGTTAGCTCCCCTTTATCAATGAGAAAACTGAAATTCAGGGAGGTAAGGAACTTTCCCAGGCTGCATAGGATATGAATGACAAATTCAAGATCAAACAGACAGATAGACACCCAGCAATGGGTATGGCATAAAGCCTGGCAGAGTCCCAGTCCCCAGGGCTGTATCTATCTACCCACCCTCACTCCATGCCAGGCCTCTGTGCCCTTTCTGTTTCGGAGAGAGCAAACAAGCAGTGACTTCTTCCCAAGCTGAATGAAAACAAGGGACCAAGGATTCAGTTTGCTTCAGCACATATTTTTAAGCTCTGAATCAGTATTTTGGAAAAGACAAAGGTTGCCCTATCTCCTGGTTCTCCAACTGTCCAAGAAAATCAGACTGGTTTGGGGCTGGGGTTGTAGCTCAGCAGTAGAGCACTCACCTCACAGGTGTGAGAGACCCTGGGTTCGATCCTCAGCAGCACATAAAAATAAATAAACAAAATAAAGATATTGTGTCCATGTATAACTAAAAAAATTATTAAAAGAAAATCAGACTGGTTTGATATATAGTTCTTGCAAAAACTGGGCATGGTGGTGCATGTCTATAATCCTAGTTACTCAGGAGGCTGAGGCAGAAGGATTGAAAGTTAGGGCCAGCCTGAGCAACTTAGCAAGACCCTGTCCAAATAAAATAAAAATAAAAAGGGTTAGGGATGTAATTCAGTGGAACAGCACTTGCCTACCATGAGTGAGGCTCTGTGTTCAATTCCCAGTATTACAAAAATAAACAAAAAACCACCATCATTTGCATTTGGGGTTTAGCTGATGGGGTAATTCTAGTCTGCACTAGATGGGAAGATCCTGGGTACAGGACCAAGAATGGATCATCACTGTTATCTATAGTGCTGAGCATGGTTCAGGTTGTTATATCTGCTTAAAGATGGATAAATGGCGAATGGGTGGGTGTTTGGATGGATAGATGAATGGTGGGTGGGTATATGTGTGTATATATGTGTGTACATATGTATATATGTATGTATAGATGAGTGGGTAGAACGGTAGATGAATGAATAGTGGATAAATGAATTTTAAAATGTTCTTCTGGCCCCCAAATCACAAAACTAAGTCCAAAACACAAACCTTGCATTGCATCAGTTATAACTCATATCCCTGCACTTCTGTGAAAGCATTTGCAGTTTCTTTCTTTCTTTTTTTTTTTTTTTTTTTTTTGGTACTAGTTATTGAACCCAGGAGCACTCAACCATTAAACCACATCCCCAGCCCCTTTAAAAAATATATTTTATTTAGGAATAGGGTCTGGCTAAGTTGCTTAGGGCCTTGCTAAGTTGCTGAGGCTGGCTTTGAGCTTGTGCTCCCCTGCCTCAGTTTCCCAAGCTGCTGGGATTACTGCCACTACATTTGTAGTTTCTATTTATTTTGTCTCTCAAGAGCTTCCTCATTCATTCTGATCACATATTTATGCGTAACAAAAACCATGTCCAAGGCACCAGACCTACGTCCATATCCCACACAGTTACTCCTCTGAGTCCCAAACCACAAACTAGGGTGCTTGTCCAAGAATCCTGCAAACACCCTCCCCTGGAGCAGCTGCTCTGGTCATCCTGGAAGTGGGGAAGTGATGACAATTATGGGCTGGCTCTGCGGGAACAGCTTTCACTGCAGTGAAAGGAATTCTGCATCATTGGCAGAACCCAAATAGCAGCCAAGGATGCCAACTGCTTTTCTAGAGGTTTCTCCCCAAGCCTATCATCTGCAACCAAACCTAGCCAGCATCAAAGAGAGATGAGGAAAATCCCACAGGCCACATGAGGCCAGACTGAAGGTGCAAGGAGCACAGGTGCGGGGTGGTCAGCGCAGGAGCCTGGGGAGGGGGCTGTTGGAGTGGAACCCACACCTAGCTCTCTGGCTGATCAAGAATGAGACTGGAAGGAAGGATGATGTTAAACAAAGGCAGGAAGGAAGGCAAGTCTGGTCTCTGAGAAACAGCTCTGGGCCACAGACGCCAGATTTAGAACAGAAGAAAGGCTTTTGTAGGGGAGATACTAAAGCTAAGTCCATTGACAATGCTCTGCCCCCAAATTCCACATGCCTGACAGGCTGGGTGTGGGCCAGAGGAAACAACCAGACAACCCTGTGGCAGTGCCTCCTCCCATCACCCTGCAAACTGCTTCAGCCATTTCCCAGGACAGCACCAGCTGCGACCCCTGAGTCTCCTGGCCAGCTCGGCCAGACATGTTCCCTATTGCAATACTGGAAAAGAGCTGCTTGGAGGGAAGCAGCTATTCAGAAGCATTCACCTGGCTTCAAGCGTGGGCTGTATTTTACCAATAAGGCTGCTCTACACTTGGGAAAATTGAAGCAGCTTTAGGTAAGGGGGCAAAATAACCTTAAGGGATCTGGTCCTGGGAGCCCTGATCAAGTCAAATCTATAGAAAGTGGGTCATTGCGACAGAGCCTTGCCTTGGAGAAATGATAGCCATGGTTACACTGACAATGGCATGTCCCTGTTTATAAAGTCCTCACTAAAGACTCGATGCATTCAATCTTCAAAATTAAATTTTTTGAAAGATGAAAAAAGCCAAGGATCAGAGCAGGTAGCAAGAGACAGAATCAAGATCGAAATCCAGGAGCTCACTCAGGACCTGCACTTTTAGAAGGCATTTAGGGAGATGGATGTGGTTTGGATCATGACCACAAACTTATTAATATGTGACCTTGACCAAGAAATATACCTGCCCAGGCACTTACTTTTCTCATCTGTAAAATGGGAACATATTGGTATTAAACTGAATGTTTCCTGTGAAGGGCACACTGCTCTCCTGTGAACATCAGACCTGGCACTTGGCAACTCCATTCCTTCATATCTGGCTAACCAGCTAGGTTCAATCCCCTAAGCAGCACCTACCCACCTCACAAGCACACCTCCAGCATACCCTACAGGATGCCTGGCCAGCTGACACTCCACATCAAATACCCAAAAAATGCCCCTGCATGGGGACTTCTATACCCAAAGTGGACCAGCCTGGTAGAGGAAGGAGTGTCTTTGCCCCATGGTCCATCAACCCTCCTGCCACCTACCTGCCAGGAGAGCTGTGGAACCAGACACAACTCATCATCCAAGTTTCCTAAACAAGCCCTGGCATCGCCCCTCCCAGATGTCCAAAGGAACATTAATTTCTGGTAGTTCAGGGACCCAGATCAAGGGGTCTTGGTTTCTTAACCTCCACCTCTCTTTTTTTGGTACCAGGGATTGAACCCAGGGATGCCCACTGAGCCACATCCCCAGCCCTTTTTATTTTTTATTTTGAGACAGGGTCTCACTAAGTTGCTTAGGGCGTGGCTAAGTTGCTGAGGCTGGCTTTGAACTCGTGAGCCTCCTATCTCAGCCTCCAAAGCTGCTGGGATTACAGGTGTGTGCCACTGAGCCCGACTTAACTTCCATTTCTACACACTGCTTTCAGATGCATTGTCTTAGAAGACCTATTCCTCAATCTGGTGGTCCTGCCTCACCAGCTCTGATAGACCCAGTTGGAGGACTTGACTCCAGCCAGCCATGGGGACATACATCTCTATATTTGGCTTTTGGGATCCCTGTTTCACTCTTTCCAATTCTCCTTAGACCTGTCCAGTCCATCCTTCATCTCACCACTTCCTAATCATCCAACTATGATGCACTCTCCTTTGTGAAGCCCTGCAAGCACTGACTTATTTTTCCAGAGCATGCATACACAGATACCCTGGATGCTGGAATTATTAACTTCTGTCCTCTCCCCGTCATAAGCTCCCACAGGGGCACTGACTTTTCTCTCTTTTGGTTGTTGCAACAACTCTGGTATCTAGGCACAAGGCAAGAAATCAAGAATTGTTGCATGAACACACGAGTTAAGGCCACACTTACCTCTGAGTTACTGTCATCTATCTTATAGAGAAGAGGCTGAGAAAGAGACAGAGAGATTTGCCCCTGGCCCTCAGTTAACAAGGACAGAGCTGGAACCTGAACCCAGGCTTCCTGCCTCCAAGGCACATGCTCCTCCTGCTCCCGCCTGCAGTGCTCCTGTGTCTGTCACAGCACTCAGCGCCCTGCTGAGTGTAATAATCACCTTTTGCAACCTCAGAGGAGGGGAAGTGCACTTAGTCCCTACCCCTTTGGCGACAGGCCTCCCAATGCAGCCTGTGCAGCCAAACCTAAGCCTAAGAAAGAAGCTAGGCTCACATTCCTTACGGGGGAGCAGAGCCAAGACGCTCCCTCATAGGTGCATCCCTGGGAGGCAGAGCTTGGCCAGGTCATGGGTGGCTGTGCCTAAGCTCCACGAGGCCCACCCCAGGATCAGAGGCCCCAAGAGGTGCCCGGGGCTTACCATGGACTCACTGATGAGCAGCAACAGGAGGGCCTCCTCGATGTTATCCTTGGGGCAGTAGAGGCTGAAAGATAAACAGCAGTCCTGGCTCCAGCCCAGCCCTCACCAATGGTCTGGCCCACCATGCAACCTTCTGCCCTGAGTGAGCACCAGCCTGGTAAGGTGACCCTCTCCTGCATAATTCACAGGAACCAGATACCATGTGCAGCTCTTTAACATGCCCCAGTTATGGATCTGAAAGACCACAGGAGACCTGGCCCTTCCAGCCCCCGGCACCACCTGAAGCAGCTGGGCAAGGAAGAAGCTCTTCCTATTGGCCCCAGACCCTCCTATATTGGCACAAATAAGAAAGGCAATGTGTCAAAAGCAAGAGTATCAGGAAGGCAGATCATGTATTTGGCTTCTGGGCCTTCTAGATTCTCCCTGCATCCACCCATGTCTCTAAAGAGCCTGCCTGGCCCTGTGCAGGGGAGAGGCTGGGAGGGAGCAGGGCAGAGTGAGGAGCTGCCAGCGCAAACAGACCCTGTGCACAGAGGGAGAGTGGTGTGGTCCAGCAGGGGAGTGGAACTCACTTGTCCCCTTCATAGAGGTGAGGTTTCCGCAGGGTCTGTGTGACGAAGGAATTCTCCTCCTTGCTCATGAACTCAGGCAGAGGGTGGGACAGGGGGCTCCAGTAGCACTCCTCACTCAGGGAGTGCAGCAAGACCCCCGCCAGGTGCTTGGCCGCCATCTGGCAGAAAGGAAGGAACTCAGACCTGGGCACATGGGCTCTCCCCTGGCTCACCTCGATGGCCCTCCGCCCACCATCCAGCCAATCTGCCTGACTTGCAGTGCACTGCCCCTCCACTCCTCAGGGGCCCCCTGGCTTGGGTCAGTCCCTCCAGCACTGAGGCTGTCTCCACCCCTTCCTTTGGCTTTGGGTAGCTCTCCTGCATCTTTTCTCTCCTCTCCTAGACTAGGTGTTCGTTTTCTCCTTCTCCTGACCCCAGGGAGCCCAGCGCAGCTCTGCGCACCCTGGAAGCCCTTACAAGAGGTGGAGAAGGACAGGAGGCCACAGGTTCAGGCAGCCTCTCTACTAGAAGCCAGGCTGAGATTCTGACAGGTGATCAAAAATTTTAGTGGAGCAGCTGTGGTTATGACTTTAGAGGAATTAAGGCCAAAGAAGGCAGGCCTGAGTCAGGGCAAGAAAGCAGAGTCAAGGACATTTGTTAGGAAACAAATTCCTAAGAATTACTAATATGGCCTTGCTAGGACAGTTTTGCGGGGGTGGCATGGCACTGGATTTTAACTCTCATTCAGTGCTCGGGCTATCACCTGGCTCTGGTGAGAAGGATAGGAAGGTGCTTCTCGGGCTCAGTGGGAAGAGGATGAGATTAATTAATAATGTCTGCCATGAGCAGGGGCATGTAGCACCTGCACATGACACACTGCCATCCCTGGTTCAGAGGCTGCCTGCTAGCACTTCTGTTGTCTTCCACTGAAACTGACCCCTGAAAAAAACAGCCAGAGCCAGCAGCCACGTTACCACTTTGAAGTTCTGCGTTGCTTTGGTCTCCACAGTCCGCAGAACCTCCCGGAGTTCCCTCATGCCCTTCACGATGTTCCTGGAGAGAGGGAGACAGAAGCAGGGGCATTACCAGCCTTGGTCTCTCGGATATTCTCATCAAGCCTATAGATCCAGGGAGGAGCCTGCCTGCTTGAGTTCCCTTTGAGTACCTCCAGTTACTGGCATGAAAGGTCAGAGTTGGAACTCTAGGAGGCCTTGGACATCAACAAGCAAAGAGGAAAGAGGTTCCTTCTCTCCCAAAGCCCCCAGCAACTCAGGGTTCTAGTTCACCACCAAAAGGATACCAAGACTGAGTACTGCAAACAAGATGTCACCTTGGCCCAAGCACCTTTGGATTGTCAGACTCGAGTCGCTTCAATTCTGCACCTCTACCTGCTGTATCTTGTCCACGCTAGAATCTGTCTTCACTTCTGCATCTCCATCACCAGGCCCAGGCTGGCCCACCTCACCTTGGGCCTGATAGCCACGCCAGCCAGGGCACTCCCTCTGGTCAGCCCTCTGTGCCCTGACATGGTTTTTAGAGTTATAACAGTGTGACCCACAGTGAGAAGGACACCTCACATAGCAGTCCTGTGTTCCCAAGGCTTTCCTTGCTTGACACTGAAGTTCCTCGGCACCATACCTATCTCCGCTATGCGCAGTCGACTGTGATATCTTCTATTTTACCCCCACCCCCACTCTGCTTTTTAAACTGTTGGCTGCAGTCCACACCTGTCCACCTTGCAAACCACCAATGTGTTGTGTCCTGCAGTTTGAAAACACCTTCCAGCACCCCTTGGAGTATCTGGATGGTACACAGAGGCCATCTGCCTCCTCCTCTGGCCAGCCTCCCCTACAGTCCCCAGTCTAGGCCTTCAACACAGCCTCCTGGGACTGTCAGGGCACCCCTCCCATCTTCTCGCCTCAGCTCCCACCACTCAGGCAAGCTCTTTCTGAACATGGCAGTTCTCAACGTCAAGTATTGGCAAGTGTCCTCCACTGCCTTCCACAGCCTTTCCTCCCCATGAGCCTTCAGAAATAATTCCAGAATCACTTCCTCCTACCAAGGCCTCCCAGGTCGCTCCCCAAGCCTGCCTCGCCTGGCTGTTAATTCCTCTTCTGGAGTAACTACAGAACCCTGAGGTCATTGCAGGTCCGACCCTGGCACACTGTGGCTCCTGAGGGTGGCGTTTGGGTCCCGTGAGGTCCTGAAGTCCAGCTCTGTCAGAACTCCTGCTCGCAGCCTGTGCTCAGGTGGGAGAAGCATGACCCTGCTCATCTGCTCAGAGGGTTCCCTGATCACACCACAAAGGGAAAGCAGGGGCAGCCAGTCCAGCAAACACAGGGAAGATCACAGAGCCAAAGCTGGTCACAGTTGGGGTGAGCCCCTCAACTCTCTCAGGTTCCTGAGGGGCTTGGGGTCTAGGAACTATAGAAGTGTAAGTTTGAAGATCCAAGCCCTTTGCCTTCAGGGAAGCTCTGGCTTCAGACAAGAAAAAAATATGCAAATGACTAACATGATAAGTGTCTCTATTCTCAGCCTTATTTTTAGGACTGAGAATGGATACGATGATCCCTGGGGCAGGGGCAGGGTCATGATCTTACCCAAACTGCCCTGTACTCTGAAGAACCAGGAGAGGTGAGCAGGAAAGGGGACATTAACCTTAGAAACAGCTCACGACCATATGCTGCTATAGACAGCTGTGTGGCCCAGGGAGCGGGTCGGCGTCTGGAGGCTTCAGTCTCCTTGTCTAGAAAACAAGGACTTCTGCTGATTGCATGCCTCCACAGTCATAATTTTCCCATTATCTGTTCATCACTCGTATCATTTATGTAATAGTTTATACTTTCTTTCTTTTTACTTCAGTATATATATTTCACCTTAACCAAAAATACCTGAAATCATGACTTTGTTGTACTGGTTTTTATTTATTTATTTTAAATTTCACCAATAGATATTACAATACAGAAATTACTGGGGATCGAACCCAGGGCCTCATGCATTCTAAGCAAGGGCTCTACCACTAACTTACATCCCCGACCCTACAGAGTTGTTTTTTAAAAGTTAGTGTCTATCAGTTAAAATCATCAGAGGTACCTGTCCCACACTCTGAGAAAATTTACATAAGAGGTTCTCAAAGTATGGTCCCTGGACTAACAACACTAGTAATGTCCCAGGAACTTGTTGGAAAAGCAACTTGGGGTCTATCAAGTCTCCAGGGGGTTCTGATGGGACACTCAAGCTTGAGAACCACTGGCTTAGATGATTCCCAGCGTCCTCTAGTTCTCCTTGTCTAAGAAGCCAGTTTTCAGAAGGGACAATCTGATGGGAAACCCGAGCTTTGCAGCCAGATGCTACATCTACACTCTTAAGAGACATGAAGTGGCTTCTCTGAGTCCTAGATCCTGTCTGTAGGAGGATTCCCCATCTCCTCATAGAAAAATGTCAGGAAGATGATGAATGCAAAGCCCCAGTGCCCCCAAGCATGTGGGAGGGGCTCACTAAATATTATTTTCCTTTCTCCTAATTTGTATTTTAAATATTATATTATGGATGTTTTAACTTTTATTATTTTTCCTGGAAGCTCAGAAGCTAATGACTGCCATGGGGGTGGGGAAGTGCCTGGTTCCTGAGGGAATCCCCCAGCTGTGTGTCCATCTGTCTCCTACTAGTCCTGGCCCCATAGGGGACATAAGAGGATTCCCTGGTAGATGAACCAAGAGCAGGGACAGGCCTGGGGGCCCCCACAAGCCTGAAGAGGACAAGTTGGCAGTAGAGGTCCTTCAACCCCATGGAGGCCATCAGTCCCAGAAGCCAGAGATGGACAGTAGGCCACAGGCAGGCCTAGTCAGCTGTAGGGACAGGGTGGCACTAGCCACCACAAGGGGAAAGAATAAAGACATAGATTGCAGAAGCTCCCAGCCAAGAGGGAAAACGGCTGGTCATGGGAACCCAGTCCACAGGATAGCAACGCCGGGCAACTGGGTCAAACAGCCACGGGCTGAGGCGGACTGTCCCCGAGGCTGCCCAGGGCCCTGTGGTCCAGAAGACGCCGGCAGTTCCCTGGCCCTCGGGTGATTTTCCACTCTGTGGGCTACTTGCCAGCCTCCTCCTTGGCAGCCTGGCCCAGGCTGCTACCGGAGGCTGGAGCCAAGGGTGACTACAGCCTCTTCTTCCCACTCCACTGCAAGGACCAGCCTCTCTCTGCCACTATCAGGAGATCCCAGCCTTAGTCCTTACACCAGCCTCACCCCGGTACCAGCAGACTGGCACCACTTGGGGGCTGAGGGAGGGGACGCTGACTCCCCCTCAAAATGCACAAGATCCTATTTCCCAAAAGTTGTGTCTCATTATTTTTAAACTTACAAGGGACTCTGGCATCTAAATAAGCTCCCAGGAATTCTACAGCAAAGCAAACCATCACCCTGGGGCATGTTTTGAGCAAATCCCAGTTTTTGTTGAATAGCCTTAAAGAGAAAACACACACACACACACACACACACACACACACAGGTTCCAGTGGCCAGGGCCGCATGGGGGAGTTTTGAGATCCCAGCCCACACTGCCCTGTTCTGCAACACTGGGAATGCACCCTGCCTCAGCTTACCCTTCTGAGAAACAAGAAACCAGAAGGGGCTTCTCAAGCACCCCAGATGGCCCCCAGCCTGAGCAATCCCAGCCCAGGCCTAAAGCTGCCTGTGCCAGGTGGAGCCGGGGCTTTTCCGAGCATTTCTGGCTGCCTCGTGAGAGGGCAGCTTGAAAGATCTCTTTGTTCTTGTCTCTCCCGCTGACCTTTCTGAGCCAAGCTGCCCACTTTTAACAATATCCAAACAGGGCCTCAAACAAATCCTGGCCCAGAAACAGGCTGCGTGGGGAGAAGCCAGGAAGCCGTTTATTCCAACTAAAGTAAAGCCCGACTGCTCAGAGCAGAGAGAGAGAGAGAGAGAGAGAGAGAGAGAGAGAGAGATAGGTGTATGCGGTGATGGATCAAGGACAACAGTTCAGGGAGACTTTCAGGTGGGACTGCAAGGGGGTGGCCCACTCCTCCAGTCCTGTGGCCAGCAGCAGGTGGTGGTGTGCATTTTCCAAATCCCTTCCCCTTGGTTCAGTCTTTGTGGTTTCTGATGAAGTGAGAGAGGCCAGCAGGCCCCATTATCCCAGCACAAGTGCAAAAGGTTTTGGTATAAAGAAGGCCTCCAAGAAATTGTGGCTGAATAAATAAATCCCCTCTCCCAGTGGGGAAAGTGAAGCCTGGACGGTGCCTCCTTCACAGGTCACCACCTTTGGCAATGGCAGTGACGGGCTTACAGCAGCCACCAAGGGCTCAGATTTTCCTTCTTTTCAACCTGGAAACCCCTGAAACGTGTTTCCACCTGGAACACTTCCACTCTCCTTTCCTGGCTATTGAACTCCAGAACTCCTGGGACTTAACTTAATTTACAAAGTCTTTAAAAAGTGCCCACTGCATACCCAGTAGCTGTTCATCAGCCCCGTTGGCAAGAGGCAGTCAGTAAATACTTGTGGAATAAATTAAGAGACTGAACGAGTGGATGAATATCTCGTGTGTGGCCTTGCATGCCAGCAGCCCACAGCCTTGTTAAGTTGGCCATGCTCCTGATTTACCTGGAGCTCAGCAAAGGGTTTTGCACACAGTGAGTGCCTGATGAAGTTTTGCTGAAGGGGATTGCTTTGATTTGAAACAGAGGAGAAATGACATGGAATTAATCACTGAAAGGAATCTAAACAGATGCTGGTGTACATGACCCCAACCAGAAGCCCCTACCAGAAGTTAGCATTTCAGGACTGGATCATGTGTAAGAGGTTTTTGGTCAAAGACCCAGAAGAGTGAGCATAGCCAGTTGGCAGTTCCCAAAAGCTGGAGGATTGAACTTCAAGACAAAGTTAGGTGAAGTTCAATGGTTAGCAAGTTGTACATTTCTGCCAGAGATCTAAATCACTTTTTTCAAAAACTAAAATTCTTCAGCTCTAGCCCTAGAATAAGGCTGTGCTCAGGATGAGCCCAGGACGGAGGATGACCAGGACTGAGGAGGCCCAGG